ATCAGGGAAATGTAAATCAAAACCACAATGAGATACCACCTCATGCCAGTGAAATTGGCCATATTAAAAAAAATCTGGCAACAACAAATGCTGGTGAGTATGTGGAGAAAAACCCTCTTACACTGCTGATGGGAATGCAAACTGGTCCAGCCACTATGAAAAGCTGTGTGGATGATCCTTAAAACACTAAGGATGGATCTATGATATGATCCAGTGATCCACTCCTGGGAACATACCCAAAGGACATAAAAACATTAATTTGAAGGAAAACCTGCACTCCTATGTTTATTGCAGCACTATATACAATAGCTAACAACCTAAATGCCCAATAACAGATGACTGAATCAAGAAGATGTGGTATATATACACAATACTGTCAACAATTGAAAAAGATGGGCCTTCCTGGTGGTACAAGGGGTTGAGCACAGCACTGTGAAGCTGTCCACTGCCTCTGCAGCATGAGTTCGATTCCCCGGCCAACCAGGTTGCTACTCACATGGCGCAGCAGACCTCTCCTGACTTGCCCGCTGCTCCTCTTAGCAGTGTAATTCAGTCAGTCTGCCTGTTTTGCTCCCCACTCTGTCTCTGGTGAATCCTCTCACTCCCCCACCTCTGGCCTGTACCCCAGTTCTTGTATGCATAAATAAATAAATCTTTAAAAAAAAAATATTTGAGGGCCTCCCTGGTGGCACAAGGGGTTAAGCACCGCACTATGAAGCAATCCACAGCCTCTGCAGCACAAGTTCAGTCCCCAGCCGGCCAGGGAGAAACCCACATGGCGAGGCAGACCTCTCCTGTCTCGCCTGCTGCTCCCCTCAGCAGTGTATTTCAGACAATCTGCCTTTTCTGTTCCCCACTCTTGTCTTTGGTGGATCCTCTTACCCCCCGCATCTCTGGCCTGTACCCCAGCTCTTGTATGCATAAATAAATAAATCTTTAAAAAAATTGAAAAAGATAAATTCATGCCATTTGTGGCAACATGTGTGAAACTGTAAGGGATTATGCTAAGTGAAATAAGTCAGAAGGAAAAGGAAAATATCTGATAGTGTCACCTATAGGGGGATGCCGGAGACCAGCTCCAGTGAACAGGATTGAGGAGAGGGATCCGAAAGAACTGTCATAAACAAAGAAATGACAGACACAAAATAGAGTTTAAGAGAAGCTGGACCCAGGTGATGCAAGGCACTCAGTGTCACGAGTGCCTGGAGCACGCTGAGTGCCTAGAGCAACTCTTATTTATTGAGACAGACCACTCCCTAGGTTAGTTACATGACAATGGTTTATTCTTTTATTTCTTAGTATTCAGCATTATTCTGGCCCACATTCACCACCAAGGTTCTGCATTATCAGGTTATTCTGTTCTCTTTTCTAATCTAGTTTGTTTCCCAGGCATAGTATTGCTGACAGAAGAAAAACATCCTGATTTATACACAGGCCAGTCTTCCAGCCAGTGCTGATCAGTCTTTTTTAGCCATGCCCAGTCTTCCAGTCATGACCCTGATATTTTCCTTGTCTCAGCACTTCACACCTTAGTGTCTCCAACAGGGGCAATAGGGAACCTGAGCAAAGTATCAGGAAAAAGACAAAACTTGAAGGCAAACCATAGATCTGTGGCTTACAGCAGAGCAGAGTGGGAGGGAGAGGGGTCAAAATGGGGAGGGAAGAACACAAGGGACAATGGGATGGATCATGGGGACTACACCTGAGGGGAGAAAGCAAATATTGTACAAAAATGAACAGTGATTTGAGAAAATAAAACAATAAAGTAATAATTAAAAAGTAAATAAATGGGGCCTCCCTAGTGGCACAGGGGTTAAAGTCTCAGCGCTACCAAGCTATCGCCAGCCACTGCAGCCTGAGTTTGAGAGTTCGATTTCCAGCCAGGGAGCTACCCACATGGCTCAGCAGATCGCACCTGTCTCCCCCACTGCTCCCCTCAGCAGTGAATTTCAGTAGATTTGCTTGTTCTGTTCCCCACTCTGTCTCTGGTGAATCCTCTCACCCTCCAGCACCTCTGGCCTGTACCCCAGTTCTTGTATGCATAAATAAATAAAAGTAAATCTTTTTTAAAAAGTAAATAACTATGTCTCACTCATATATTTGGATATGTTTTACTCAGTAATAATTGAGTAAAAGATTTTAGGTATAAAATCTTTCTGTACATCTTTATATAAATGACTTCCCAGTCCCAAACTTCGTTATGTCCCAAGTTGAAACTCCTGTCTCTACCACGTCTACCCAGACCTAGCCCTTTTGTGCCATTAATGATACTTGTTTATCGTCTTTGTCACTAATGATACTTGTTTATCATCTTCATATTTTTCTACAACATCCATCATAGCCATTCCCCCATTACATTCCAAGGTCCTCATATTTTCTTGCTTAAACAAATGTAGCAGCCTTTTGACTGATTCACTTATTATGAAATCACTTATAATACTCTGTGTGTATTTATGTATGTATGTATGTATGTATGTATTTTTATGTGTATATATATGCATATATATTTAAAAAACACTGTAATTATCACCAGAGTTTTTTCTAGAGATTATTAATAAGAATACTAGAGAAAATTTAAATTTTTTAAGCAAAATCAAATTTTAATTTTCAGGGTATCAGGAATGATGAAAAGTCTGAGATTTTATTCTACTTGCTAGCTAACAAGTTAGTTGCCAGTTTCATTGATTCTAGTAGAACACATAGCACCCCTTGGTCAGAGTAGAGGACTTGATTGCTTATAGCGACAGTATCCAAAGTATTGTTATTTTATTTCACCAGTTTCCTAAGAATTGATTTGGTTCAATGATGTCATATTAGAATATAATCTTGGAAATATAATAATAGTGATAATACACTATCCATTAGATCAAGTTTTCATGAGGATGTGGGTAACATATTTTTCTACATTGATGGAGTTAAATATAAATTGCACAACTACTTGGGAGGTCAAGTTGGTGCTATTTAATTTTAATTTAAAATATTTCTTCCCTATTACCTAAAAATTCTACAAAAACATTGCCACATGTGTACAGGAAGATGTGTGCATGGATGCTTATTGCAACATTACTTTTAATTGAAAGAAAAGGGGGAAAACACAGTAAAAAGGGGAAAAACACAACAGTAGCATAATTAAGCTGAGAATTAGATTGATATATTGGTGCTACCACGGTTAGATCTCAATCAGTTTGAATAAGAAAAGAAAGCTACAGAATGATACAGTGAATATGATACTGTTTATGATAAAATGAAGCAGATACAAAGTAATATTTTGTTTTCTATTGGTACATACACATATACATGAATTCAGAAAGGTCTAGAAATGGTAACAGTGGCTGCCAAAATGAACTGATATTGGTCCTTCTACCCTGCCATTTTTTTTTTTCAGGCGCTGTGAAGCTGTCCGCAGCCTCTGCAGCAGTGGTTTGATCCCGGCCGGCAGGCGAGGGTCCCACATGGTGGGGCAGACCTCTCCTGTCACACCCACTGCTCCCCTCAACAGTGTATTCGGTCAATCTGCCTGTTCTGTTCCCCATTCTGTCTCTGGTGAATCCTCTCACCCTCCCACAAATCTGGCCTGTACCCTGATTCTTGTATAAATAAATAAATCTTTTAAAAAATTACTGTTAGAAGGATTTTATTGTGAGTATAGAATCAAAGCAAGAGAAATGGATTTTTTTTTTACTGGTTTCTTCAAATTTTAATTGTCTTAAATAGTGAATTTCCTTTACAGAGTTTTTTTTTTAAAGATTTATTTATTTATACAAGAACTGGGGTACAGGCCAGATGCGCGGGAGGATGAGCAGATTCACCAGAGACAGAGCGGGGAACAGAACAGGCAGACTGACGAAATACACTGCTGAGGGTAGCAGCAGGCGAGTCAGGAGAGGTCTGCTGCGCCATGTGGGTTTCTCCCCTACCGGCGGAGATCGAACACGCACTGCAGAGGCTGCGGACAGCTTCACAGTGTGGCGCTACAGAATTACCTGCTGAGGGGACTTGACTGCTGACGTCTATTGGTCAGGATCTCTACCATATACTTACATTTTCTCTTTTCCACAGGTATAGTTATATCATGTCAAGAAAAATAAAAGACACATGAGTAAGACTTGATTTCTTTACCTTAGCAATTCCAGTGTAGTCTTTCAAGCATACCATGGTCTCATGATAGTGAATAGAAATGTGTGATGCTTATGAGGAAATATTTGTGAATCTTTTAGAATTTTTTTTTTTTTTTTTTGCATATAGTTGCCAGTTTTGTTTTGGTTTTCACCACCATTGTAGAGATCACTATCTTACCCTGATTTTGTTTCCTCCAAATTGAGAATGTACTCTATTTGAACTTTGTCTCAGCTATATAAGAAACTTTCAGTTCTCATAAATGTGTCTTATTTCATAATCTCTGAACAGATTAAAATGTTACAGTATGGGAGATTTTCCATTCTAAAGGAGTAAAATGTAGGTTTCTTAACCAGGAATTTATATTTTGTCAGTAGAATGTACTACTTAAGATCACAGCTAGGCTTGGGTTTGAATCCTTGCTCCACCTCTTACTTCTAAGGCATATGACTTAGCCTGCCTAAATCTGGGTTTCTTCATTTTTGTAAAATGACTAAATTTCAAGAAAATACTTGCTGTTAAAATTACTTTCTTGGGCCTCCCCAGTGGCGCAGCGGTTGAGCGCTGGGTTGCGAAGCTGCCCGCGGCCTCTGCAGCGCCGGTTCGATCCCCGGCTGCTTCCCGGCCACCGGCGGAGGATCCCACATGGCGCGCAGACCTCTCCTGCCGCCCGCTGCTCCCCTCAGCAGTGTACTTCGGTCCTTCTGCCTGCTCTGCTCCCCGCTCTGGCTCTGGTGAATTCTCTCACCCTCCCGCGCTTCTGACTGTACCCAGTGCATGTAAAAACAAACAAACAAACAAAATAAATAAATAAAACATGCCTCTCTAAAAAAAAAAAAAAAAAATTACTTTCTTGATAACTTGTATTTTCACTTTTTATTCAGCTAAACATGAATTCAGCTCCAACTTTCATCAACTTTCCTGCAAAAGGGAAACCCAAACGGGGTGATACATATGAGTTGCAGGTGCGTGGTTTTTCAGCTGAGCAAATTGCCCGGTGGATTGCTGATCGAACTGATGTCAATGTAAGTTTTCCTACTTTGAAGAAATTTACTTTGCCATTACTCACCTTGAAGTTTATTGGAAGGTCGTAACTGGTCTTGTGCCCATATCACTGAAGTATGGTAATAGTTTTGCAGTCCCTATTCATAAGTATCATTTAACAGAATTATCCTGATAGAGTGAATTTTTGCAAAGAATTATCCTGATAGAGTGAAATTGCAACACAGCCCCACTATTACCTTATTGAATTCACCATGGAAATTACTTTTTGACTTTATTGAGGCCATGGGCTATTTAGTTATATTTAGTAAATAACTTGGTTTAGTCTAGAAGATGTTATGTTGTGGTTAAACAGATAATTTATTGTACCTACTTAGAAATCATTGTAGACTGTTTTGATTAGGATAAAAAGAAATATGTCATTTTTTTTCCTGAGAGAAACCATACTAATCTTGATTATTTTCATTTCAAATTATTTTGATCAAATTAACTTTGTCATACTTAAAAATATTTTTCTTCCTTTTCCATTAGATTAGAGTAATTAGGCCTCCAAATTATGCTGGTCCCCTTATGTTGGGATTGCTTTTGGCTGTTATTGGTGGACTTGTGTATCTTCGAAGAAGCAATATGGAATTTCTTTTTAATAAAACTGGATGGGCTTTTGCAGCTTTGGTGAGTGGATTTTACTTTTTTTTTTTTGAAAGATTTATTTATTTATACAAGAACCGGGGTACAGGCCAGATGTGCGGGAGGGTGAGAGAATTCACCAGAGACAGAGCGGGGAACAGAACAGGCAGACTGACTGAAATACACTGCTGAGGGGAGCAGAAGGCAAGGCGGGAGGGGTCTGCTGCACCATGTGGGTATCTCGCCAGCCTTTGGGGAGCAAACCCACGCTTCAGAGGCTGCGGACAGCTTCACAGCGCTATGCTCAACCGCCTGTGCCACCAAGGGAGGTCCAGTGAGTGGATTTTAGAAGAAAAATTCTTAAATAAAATTCCTAATATTGTATTGTTAGGTTGCATTTTGTTGCTTTCTTACCTGTAGGAAAGGATTTTTTTTTTTACTTTATTCCTTAATATCAGTTTTCTCCATTATCTCATTGAATGGGCAGAGTTTAGAAGAACTGATTGTACCCAGTTTTTATTTTTTTGATAGATTGTCACCACTATGAAAATCTGCAGCTCTTTTAAAAATATTCTTCTAAAAGACTTTCCGGTATTTGATTTTGAAACTTGTCAGCTTATTTATAATTTTAGAAGTTCTTTCCTTTCAACTAAATATTACTGATTACTGTGATCTTAGTCGTGAAATATAGACCTTAACAAATAATTTATCCAAAAACATTTTTCTTCATGTATTGCTTGAGTTGACACACTTTCATATACCTATTAATCTAATCAGTGTGGGGACAGCTTCACCATGTTGCATGAGTATTTCTTTTTTGTTTCCTAGTGTTTTGTGCTTGCTATGACATCAGGTCAGATGTGGAACCATATAAGAGGACCACCATATGCTCATAAGAATCCCCACACAGGACATGTGGTAAGGGAAGTCTGGGATTTCTTTCCATTTTATGCCAAAGTTAACCTTAGTGATGATTGCCCTGTGAGACCAGTGTCAGTATATGCTGGAACTAGATATAGTTTTGACTTTCCAATCTCTCTGTATTAATGAACTTCATTTGCTGAAAAGACTGTATTGTTCTTAAAAGTGGGAAGGTCCTTAGTCCATTTGGTGAGTCCTTTTGCTGAAGTGACTAAAAATGAAAGACAGCCTTGAATTAAATAAAATTAATCAAGTAAAATTAAACCTCTACTGTTTCTAGGAAATATGCTATATATTATTAGAAAAATATAATTTCTGTGTACATGGATTCTACATTATTGTACCTCATGTCTTATACACTGAAATACTAGTTTTGTCATATTTTCTGTTATTGAAAACTGTAGTATAAATACAATGAAAAGGCAAAGAATAAATAATACAGAAGTAGCTTTTATTTTAACCAAACTTATTTACTGATGAATGTCATGGACCCAATGTTTATCAACATCAGGTGAATTTCATAGGGTTTGAAAATAGCCCCTGTTAGGATTAGGAAACCAAATTTAAACATATATTTAACGATTAAATTTTATCTCTTTTTTCCCCCCAGAATTATATCCACGGAAGCAGCCAAGCCCAGTTTGTAGCTGAAACACACATTGTTCTTCTATTTAGTATCCTCTTTTATAATAAGTCTTTGCTGCTGTTTCTATTTGTCTATTTACTCACAATTTAGGATTTTCTTTACAGCTTTTGGTTAAGACTGCCCTTTATTAATGCAAGTCATGATATCTTTGAAATTATATTACCATGTCATCTGTAATAGCCTAATCAGCTAAAACTTCTTATTTGAAGCTCTGTACTTTGGTTGTAAATTGAGACTACTTAGATCTTCCAGGCAAGAATGGAATATTTCCTTCTTGCCGATACTGTTTCAGTGAGATTATGATTTTAGAGAACAGTATTCTGTGAGTAAGAAAACACTAGTTGCTCAAAGATAAGGGTTATTTTTGACATACAACTATAGTATGTCCTAGGGACAAATACTAATTCCTGTGAATTTTGTAGCTGCCTTATTCTTATATTGTCCCATCTTCTCGAATGGCAGGTCACACTTTTCCTTTTCAATTCCAACTAATTTTTACTTTCTCATATCTGAAATTAATGAGTCTGTAAACTGCAAGGGTAGATAACAATGACATCAGATGGGTCAGACTCTAAATTTCATACTATTTTTTAAAAGATTTATTTATTCATGCATACAAGAACCGGAGTACAGTCCAGAGGTGCGGGAGGGTGAGAGGATTCACCAGAGACAGAGTGGGGAGCAGAACAGGCAGACTGACTGAAATACACTGCTGAGGGGAGCAGCAGGCAAGACAGGAGAGGTCTGCTGCGCCATGTGGGTAGCTTCTTGGCCAGCCCAGATTGAACCTGCACTGCAGAGACTGCGGACAGCTTCACAGCACTGCACTCAACCACCTGCACCACCAGGGAGGCCCTAAATTTCATACTATTACTGAACATAGTTAATCCAACTGAATCCATAAACAGTGTGACTGTGAAACAAATTAACAAAGTAAGCAAATGTGATACTATAGATTTGTGCTTCTCAGACAAGGGGTCCCAATGTTGATATATTTGAATCAGTTGTAACCCAAGTTGTTGGAAAATCTGCTCAGTGAGTTAATGGTAAATTTGTTTGCCCTTAGATCATCTCATCATCGAGGTGACATAGAGATCATCTAGTTTAACTCTTATTCTAGTGAAAGTGAATTGTACTAGCTAAGAATAGGCTAAGAACTTGGACAGTGACTACAACCAATATGAGTAATGAGATCTCTTATAAAAAACGATCTTAGGATTTCACAAGAAATAGAGGATAAAGAAATTATTTATTTTTCAAATCCTAAAATTTAAGTTGAAAATGTTTGTGGTTGGTGGATTAACAAATTATTATACCTTGGAGATGTTTTAGTATCTGGTAATAGTCGTAATTGTACATTGAAATTGAATAATGGAGCAAAAAGGTAGTTAAAATTGTAAGATACTAATTAGTTGATTTGTGGTTTATATTAGTTGGTTTAGCTTTGTATTAAAACTTTAAATATAATTATAGAAAACATTTGAGAAATTCAGGTTTTTTTCTTGTACTTAATGATTAAGCAATACTTAAGTTTTCTCATACTGCTAGAACAGATTACAAGCCTATAGAATATGGAATTTCTTATACATTTACTTAATAGGATACAAAGTGGGAATGGTTTTTCAGAGTGATTTTCTTTCCTTTGTTTTGCTTTTTTTGGTAGTGATTGGGTGAGTTCAGGTAATATTTTCTGAGCAATTATTTTGCTAAGTGCCATGGTGCATGATTTGCCTAATATATAAAGATTACAACATACTGCTTTAAGTACAGCAACTAGGTAGGATGGTGAGACAATGAATAAAGCTATTTACTTTGTTAGAGATAGGGAACTTTATGGAAGACTTAAACAGTACCCCCCTTATTAGTAGAATTGAAGCCTAACCCTCAAAACTTTACAGTTACCATGTTGGGCCTCCCTGGTGGCCTAGGGGTTGAGTCTCAGTACTGTCACTGCTACAGCTTGAGTTCAGTCCTGGGCCAGGGAGCTAACCCACATATGGTGCAGCAGACCTCTCTTGTCTCACCTTCTGCTACCCTCAGCAGTATATTTCAGTCATTCTGCCTGTTCTGCTCCCCACTCTGTCTCTGATGAATCATCTCACCCTCTACACCCCATTTCTGTAACAAAAAAAAAAAAAACAAACCCACAAAGTGTGTTATCTGTTTAATGCTTTTGATATTTTTTCTACATTATATTCCCAAATGGTTTTACTAAGAAAAGGGGGTGGGAGGTTTGCCTTCAGAAGTGTATATGTACACTAATATATCCCGGAAAGTCCTAACCATCATTATTACTTACATCATTATTACTCTCGTTTTTTAAAATTGCTAATTCAATAGGCAAATAAATTGTAGGTCATTTTTTACATCTATCTTAGACAATAATAACATAATATAAACATTCTTCTACAATTTCATAACTGCTTCATTTAATGCCTTTGTTATATATAATTTACTTTATTTCTGCTAGCTCTTTAATAGCCTAGTTCTTGTATGTTATGGAATACCACCGACTCTATTTCCCCTTTAGTTTTCCCAGACAAACATTTAATCATGATTTTGTACTTATTTACAACTTATTTCAATGTTTATATCCCCAACTAGAGTATAATTTTGTCAGTGGAAGGAACTGTATTTCATCCAACTTTGTAACTCCAACAGCTAATAGAGCCTGCCATATGGTAGGCAGTATTACAAAAAAAAAAATTAAGGAGTGAGTAAGTGAAATGAAACAATACACGTGGAAGTGCATCATAGTTCTTGATACCTGTGAACAGCACACAAAGACCTTTGTGGTATAATATGAGATGAAAAACACTAAGAATGTAAGTGGTGATACAAAAACAAACAGTTGCAAAAACAAATCTTAACCTTTAATCTGAGTAACCTGTAACTAAAGCCTATAGAAATGATCAATCCTTACACTTACCCACATAAAAAGAACCTCAGAGAGAAAAAATAATCACTGGGTGGGGCCTCCCTAGTGGTGCATGGGGTTAAGTCTCAGCACTATGAAGCTATCACCAGCCACTGCAGCATGAGTTTGATCCCCAGGCCACATGAAGCAGCAGACCTCTCCTATCTCACCCGCTGCTCCCCTCAGCAGTGTATTTCAGTCATTCCACCTGTTCTGCTCTCCACTCTGTTTCTGGTGAATCCTCTCACCCTGCCCACCACACACATATCTCTGGCCTATTCCCCAGCTATTGTATGCATAAATTAATAAATCTTAAAAAAATAGGAAAAAAAGGGCCTCCCTGGTGGCACAGGGAGGTTAAGCACCGCACTATGAAGCAATCCCCCACCTCTGCAGCAGGAGTTCGATCCCTGGCCGGCGAGAGAGAAACCCACATGGCAAAGCATACCTCTCCTGTGTCACCCACTGCTCCCCTCAGCGGTGTATTTCAGTCAGTCTGCCTGTTCTGTTTCCCACTCTGTCTCTGGTGAATCCTCTCACCCCCCCCCCCACATCTCAGGCCTGTACCCCAGCTCTTGTATGCATAAATAAATAAATCTTTTAAAAAAAAAAAAGGAAAAAGAATCACTGGAGAAGCCTTAGCTGAGCAACTAAAACCATGATGAATGGGTATTGTTCCTAACAAAAGAATATTGAAAAGAGAGTACAAAATGGTAATGAAGGGATGACTAGACAAATTATAGTGCTAATTATAAATTCAGGCAATATCTGAACACCTGTTTTTCCCTTTTTGGTTAAGTATGCCCCCCATGTAGCATACAGTGTGTGTGTGTACACATGCATACATAATTTGGGCTTTTTAAAAAGATTTATTTATTTTTAATGATTTATTTATTTATACAAGAACTGGGATACAGGTCAGAGGTGCAGGAGAGAGAGTGGGGTGCTCCCCAGGGAGAGTGGGAAGCAAACAGGCAGACGGACTGAAGACACTGCTGAGGGGAGTAGCGGGCGAGGCAGGAGAGGTCTGCCATACCATGTGGGTTTCTCCCTAACTGGCCAGGAATCAAACCACGTGCACTCTTTGGACAGCTTCACAGTGCAGCGCTCAACCTGCTGCGCAACCAGGGAGGCCCAAGACTTTTTCATTTATGCATACAACAACTGGGATTTAGACCAGAGGTGCAGGGAGTGAGAGGATTCACCAGAGTGCAGAGCAGAACAGGCAGATCTACTGAATTACATTGCTAAAGGGAGCTGCAGGCGAGACAGGAGAGGTTTGCTGTGCCATTTGTGGGTTAGCTTTCTGGCCGGGATGGAACTCAGGCCTTGGGGGTGATAGTGCTAAGACTTAACCCCTAGGCCACTGGGGAGACCCCCTTAATTTTGGCATTTTTAACTGCTCTAAGTATTCACCAAACTACAAGGTAAATCACTCATTTCTACTAGAATGCATTCTATTTGCTATAAATTTTATTTTTATGTTAGTATTCAACCATGCCTTGTAGTACCCATTTGCATGAATAGTACTGTTTTGTGTTTATGTAGATTCCATTATTCAACTGAATAAAAGTGAGCTCATGGCATATAGGGTTTTTTATTATTAGAATAGGAAAAATTATATAGTAATTAATTTGTAAATAATTGTAATTTGTGCTTTAAAGTTTAGTTGTTGCAATTCTGGAGGATTTTTGAAAAGTTTGTTTTTTTCAAATAAAAGTTGCTGTTCTCTCTAAATGGTGCACATTTCAAGTGTATTTGCTAGGTTGGGGGAGTGGTTGATATATTCAAAATGACTATTTTTTTTTTTTTGTGGTTTAATAACTTTGACAGTCAGTGGTTGGTTCTTAACCACATTGGATTTTTGAATTTTTGAAAGTGGCGATAGGTACGTAGGTTAACCAAAGTATATACTGTGTTTGGTGAGAATCTTAATCCACATTTTGTTTTTTGGAATACTGCTTATGGAGATAGTATGGAATACTTATTCCTTTGACCCAGGCAGCTTTCTTGAGCTTGGTGTCACTACACATATCTGAAGCACCCATCTTTTTCATGGCAAATTTCCAGATCTGTTTGAGTACTCAGGGTGCACGCTTCTTGAGGCCTACTCCATGGATGCACTTGTGAAAGCTGATGGTGTGTTCTCTGATCACTACTTTGTTGATGACAGAATGGCTTTTCACTACTTTTTTTTTTTTTTTTTTTTTTTTTTTTTTTTGTGGGAACCATTCTGCTGATCCCAGATGGGAAAGCAGTATTTTAAAAATGTGTATGAACATGGAAGCAATAGTTAAGAATGTCCAGGAAGGGCATTTCAAAGTACAATTTTGGGAAAAAAAAATCATATTCCATCCAAAATGTTATACTAGGATTTAGTTTAAAATACCAATTTTTATTTGTACAAATGAAGTGATTTTCAAACCTTAGTGTTTTATTCTGTCTTTCTAATAAATATTGCACTGCATAGACACAAGGTTACTTATTTTAGTTTTTGTAATTAAAAGTTTGTTTTATATATTTATTCATTTTAATTTCCTTCTGTCGATTTCCTTAAACATTTTTTCTAAGATGGTGGGGTTACCTTAGGGATGGTACTTTTATGTGAAGCTGCTACATCTGACATGGATATTGGAAAACGAAAGAGTAAGTCATAATCGTATACTAAAATATAACAATTTGCCTTGAATACAGAGAAAAGAATATCCTCTTACTTTCTCTCTTATTTATAAGTACATTCTTGTACTTCTGTACTATTATAAAAATAATATATGCTAATTATAGAAAATGTGAGGGAAAATAGGAGCATGAAACATTTGGGGAGATAACTACCCCATTATTCTACCATTGAAAAACTAGTAATTTAAATATTGTAATATATTTATTCCACTTTTATAAAAAAATCTTTAAAACTATGCATAAAATTTTAAATCTTGTAACCCCCCCTTTTTTAACGAGTTAATAACTCACTAATACTTTCCTTTCCATAATTTATAATTTATTTCTGATTTTCTTATGTGTTTAGTGTTTCATATGTTCTTGTAATAAATACTTTAGTCACTGTCATGGTATATTAAGCTTTATCTTCATTTCATAGTAATTTCTTAAGGTAAATTCCTAGAAGTAGAATGACTATATAAACTAAGGCTGTCTAATTCTTTCCCCAACTGATAAAACTTCAATTCCTACTAGTCGTATTTAAGCATGCTTATTTTATTGTAACTTTATCAGCATATAGATAACCTCATGAAAAATGTGTGTGTGTGTGTTTACTAATCAGATAATGGGGAAATGTCAAATGATTTTACTTGGTTATTAGGTTATTGGTTAGGTTAAATATTTTCCTAAATATTTATTAGCCATTTTTGTTTTCCCTTCTGTAAGTTGTCTTTTTGTCTTTTGCTATTTATCTAGCAGTCTTTCTCATTTTCCTGTTGGTTTTCATGGATTTTTTTTTTAAAGATTTATCTATCTATGCATACAAGAGCTGGGGCACAGGCCAGAGATGAGGGGGGTGAGAGGATTCACCAGAGACAGAGTGGGGAACAGAATAGCCAGACCGACCAAAGTACACTGCTGAGGGGAGCAGTGGGCGAGCCAGGAGAGGCCTGCTGCTCCATGTGGGCTGCTCCCTGGCTGGCCGGGAATTGAACCCGCACTGCAGTGACCAGACTGCCCCATAGGTTGCGTCCCAACCCTTGCGCCACCAGGGATGCCCTTCATGGACTTTTT